ATATCACAATCTGCTAAGTAACTATTTTTCTGACAGATGACAAGATTAACAGTATGAAGTAGCATATGGATATACTCAAGTACTTCAAAATCATATTAAAGTAAAGAAGATGAATGTACATTGTTACTTTCCCTCTGTAAGCATCTGTTTCAATGAAAAACCCAGACATGTGCAGACAGAGCCGGCCTGCAGTCAGCGTTTGGCTCTTAAAGGGAAAAACAGATGATATTAGCTTACATCTAATTATTATTATTATCTGCAGCAGCACTGGTTTCAACAGGGGGATGTTTGCACAGCTGCAGATGGACTAAGTGTTATTTCACCGCTGACAATCGATGACAGACACACAAGTGTGTTTCATCAACTCACTCTGCTTCACACATGGTGTGATGGCAATGAAGGACATGAGGCCGCACAGTCCCAGGTTGATCCACAGCAGGGCCTTGTTGAAGTGGCAGGCGATGGGGTGTGTGTAGTACTTGTACATGAAGGTGAAGGCCATGGTGGCGATAGTGTAAAAAAAGAGGGTGGCGCACATCACTGCCAGATACCAACGTTTGTTTTCTGCTGCACCGGTCAACCTAAGAGGTAGAGGACAGAGAGAGGGTTCAGCTCCACATCCATCTACACTGATATTCATTCTGCCTGGATGTGTCACAGAGAAACACACCGGAAGTGTAGGAATCATGTTATTTTCACCAGACGGTTATGTTTTTAGTATTGTTGTTTGATATCAGAAAAACCTGTCTGCAGATTAAATTGAACATTGTCATAAATGTAGGCCACAAGGGATTTATTTATGGTGCAAATCCAGGATTTCTTCAAGTTTTTGAGCGTTTTCTTGGTTTTCTCTGGAATTACTGCACTCAGAAGTGAATGAAAAAAGAAAAACTTCATGGAAAATTCATGGAGCCTGATTGCAACTTACAATCATGATGTGTGGAGTTTTTAATACAAGTAAAGCATAGTGTTGTTTCTTGAATCTTGTTTCACTAGCAAGAACCACGCCACAACAATATGTTGTTTAAAGGTTTAATGAAATACAGGAGTTATTGAATGTTGAGAATAGATGAATGGATGTGGGTGAGGTAGAGGGAAGATGTCATCTGTTAGGCTGGTCTGGGAGGATGTATTGAAGACCGGGCGGAGGGAGACTCAGTGTGGGGGTTCCGTCTCAGGCGTATATATCCACCCGAGCTGATCACTGGCCCTCAGACGTGCCTAGAATGAGACATGGGAGAGGTATGCATCGGATTGAAAATGACAGAAGGGGTGAAGAGATGAGGGGATGAAGGGGTGAGGGTAGGGATGAGGTAGGAGGATGATGGGATGAGGGGATGAAGGGATGAGGGTAGGGATGAGGTAGGAGGATGATGGGATGAGGGGATGAAGGATGAAGGGTTGAGGGATGAAGGGATGAGGGATGAAAGGTTGAGGGTCGAATGGATGAGGGATGAACAGATGAGGGTCAAATGGATGAGGGATGCAGGGGTGAGGGATGAAGGTTGAGGGCGAGGGTCGAATGGATGAGGGATGAAGGGATGAGGGATGAAGGGTTGAGGGTAGGGATGAGTTCGGAAGATGGAAGGATGAAGGGAAGGGAAAGGGAGGGTGGGTCGAGAAATCTTGAGACAAACGGGGTAGGATGGGTTGACCCGGCATAAGTAGGCTTGGCAGGTGATTAGAGGTGCGGTTGAGGCGTGGTTCTGCTCCCGAACCTAAGTTAACAGGTTAACTACATTGCACTAGCAAGAACCACGCTACAACAATATGTTGTTTAAAGGTTTAATGAAATACAGGAGTTATTGAATGTTGAGAACAGATGAATGGATGTGGGTGAGGTAGAGGGAAGATGTCATCTGTTAGGCTGGTCTGGGAGGATGTATTGAAGACGCAAGCCTTTTATTTACATAGTAACGTGAGAATGGGAGGTTGAAGGACAATGGAAGCCAGTGACGAGTTTGATGAAGAAGTTGATTCCTGCTAAGTAGGACTGGATGGTGGAGGACCGTATTTTTTGGATGGAATGAGCATGGGTGATGAAATTGCAGATGGACATGACGTCCAGAGAGGGAAAAGGTAGCTGGTAGGTGGAGTGAAATGCCTTGAAGCGATTCCAGCCAGTTAGGTTGGCTGAGAGTGTGCTTGGGTCAAGACTGTTAAGGATGGCTTCTTGTGAAGCATGAGAGAGGTTTGACAGCTGTGGAGCTAGTTGAATATTGTGGCTGAAAACGGTGGGATAGGTGTTGGGTGAAGATCCGATTCTGGGGCCAAGTGTCTGAATTTCTGGAACGAGAAGCGAGACAGTGAGTCAGCAATGATGTTGTGATGACCGGGAACGTGGGCTGCCTGGAGGATGAACTGGTGTTGAGCTGAGAATAAGGTGAGTCTGCGCAGGAACTGCATGATGGCTAAAGAATGAGATCGACCTTTGTTCAGGATCTCTACGACTGCAGTGTTATCGGAGTGGATAAGTATGGACTTCCTAGACCATTCATGCTCCCAAAGAATGGCAGCTATTATGATGGGATACAGCTCGTGAAGTGCAAAGGAAGGAGAGCGGGACTCTGAGTCGAGGGATTCAAACTCTGGGGACCAAGTGGAGGCGAACCATCTCCCTCTATAGTAGCCGCCTAAACCTGTGGAAGGAGCCGCGTCTGTGAAAAGTTGAATGTCCTCAGGCTGGGTGATGAAGTCGCTGTAGAAGAAGGAAATGCCATTCCAAGAAGATAGGAAATGTAGCCACATGCACATTTCCATTTTGCAGGCATCATCCAGAATGACCCTATCGTGGAGAGGGAATGGCAGCAGCCTTAAACAAAAGAAACAAGAAAGATTTAGCTTGAGGGATTATGCGGATGGCATAATTGAGATGGCCAAGGAGGGCTAACAGCTGGCGTTTGGTGCATCTGTCTGCTAGGGGGTAGTTTGACAGAAGCAGAGAGATGCGCTGTATTTTCTCCAAGGGCAGAGATGCTTCGAAGGAAATTGAGTCCAGGGTGATGCCAAGGAACTCAACGGAAGTGCCGGGTCCTGATGTTTTTTCCTCGGAAAGAGGGATGCCGAGTTCAGAGAAAGCGTTAGTGAGCGTATTAAGCCCGTGGCGAGGAGGTGAGGATGGTGGAGTGACAACAAGAAAATCGTCGAGAAGATGGAGAATGTAAGGGAGCCTGTGGTTGTTAGTGAGGATCCAGCATAGGGTTTCTGAAAGAGAATCGAAGATCTTAGGACTGCTTTTGCAGCCAGAGGTAAGGCACACAGAAAAATAATATGCCCCCTTCCAGCAAACGCCGAAAAAACGCCAGAAGTCAGGATGAATGGGCAAAAGTTTGAGTGCGCTGGTGATGTCTGCTTTAGAAAGCCAAGCTCCACGTCCTGCTAGCCAAATGAGGGTGATGGCATGGTCGATGGTTGCGTATTGCATGGAGAAATCCGGACTGGGAATGACGCTGTTGATGCTTGGAATGTGAGTCATGTGGGGAAGACAGGTCCATAATTAGCCTCTTTTTTCCAGAGTATTTGCGAGTGGCAACACCTATTGGGCTAATGCGGAACAATGGAAAAGGAGGAATATCGAACGGGCCTATCATGAATCCTTTTTTGACCTCTTTAGCCAACAGGGTGTCGACAGTGTGAGGTTCTGCGAGCAGACTGGAGGTTGTGACAGGCGTGGGAAATGTCAGGGAGAACTGCCATACCAGGATGAAAACCATGTGGGAAGCCATCTATGAGAAAATGAACAAGCTGTCTATCAGGATGGTTTTGTAGAGCAGTGGCAAGGACATTTACCTGAACAGGGGTGCTGAGGTGCTGTACAAGTTGGTCTGACAGGCGGTTAAAGACTGTGGTGTTGCATGAAGAAGAAGATGCTGTGGCAGGGTGAGAAGGGGCTCCACATAGCTCGCAGGAGAGGGACGTGCGGGCTATGAATATGCGGCAGTAGAGTTCAGAGTCAAGGGTGCCCCAGTACGTTCCCTGGTTAAATTGCTGTATGTGGCCAGCTGCTTGGTTAGCGAAGTGCACATGGTAACTGTAAAACCCTGTCCCTCCAAAACGTAGGGCCATGTTGAGCACGATAGATAAATAATCATCCAGCTCTGCTCTCAGTGTGGGAAATGCAGAACAGATAACGTTGCGGTAGAGAGAAAAAGTGAAGGCAAATTCTGTGGGGGTTAGGTCTTTAGACTGTGAGGGTAGTGAGTGGCGGAGTTGCACAGAGCCGAAGTTTGTCTGCACTTCCCTGAGCTGATTAGTGTTGATGACTGATGGCTTAAGAAGCTGGGCTAAATCTACGTAATTACCAGCAAGAATCTGTTGGCGTGGTGCCGGAGACAGGAGAAGGGCGATAAACAGATGAAGCTGGCTGGACGGGTGGTGCTGCTGTGGCGAGGGTGAAATTGCCAGTACAATGAGAAAATACGTTTGGGTGTTGGGGAAGGGATTGGGTGGGGATGGGGAGGGGGAAAGGATAGACCAGTTGGAAGTGAAGGAGGAGGCTGGACATCACCGAGTTGGTTAGCCTGTGGTGGGACCCCTTGAGTTGCTGACTGAGGCTCTCCTGCTGCTGCGTTGGCTATTGGAGGAAGAGGAGCAGAAGCCGTGTTGCTGGGAATGGCTGAAGGAAGGGTAGAGGAAGGGATGATGGGATGAAAGGATGTATGTGCACAGGGACTTTGTGAAGCCTGCGAAGACAGGGATGAAAAGCAAGCTGAAATCATGTGAGAGAATTCAGGAACAGAGGGAGCAGGCACAGGGGGACATACAACCTGGCCCCCACCAGAGGGGGCTGATGATGCAGGCTGTGGCTGAGGCAGCGACAGCCCTGTGACGTCACGCCTGACGACACTGGCAGTTGGTGGCACGGGTGAGGAAGCCGGAAGAGCGGGAGGTATGGAGTCTGTTGCTGCTTTGATAGAGGCTGAATACAGTCGAAGAAGTGTGGCTTTGTTGGCATTGCGGTGAAATGTGATGCCCTCGCTCCGCAGGAAACGTTGGAGGTGAGTGACGGTCCAGTCTCTGATATTGGGCTCAGTTTGAGGACGCGGAGACTGCTGTCTCGCAGATGAGGGCGCACCGCGGGTGCGCCGTGGTGAAGAGCCGGGAGCTGGAAGCCTAGGCGATGGGGTCAGCTGCTGATGAGGAGAGGGTTGGAGCTGGCTCCTACGCCCGTGCCCGCGGTGTCTGGTCCTCGCTGAAGGAGGAGCGGAGGCCTGAGATCTGCGGACCCCCGCGGTCCGAGTCGGAGTCGGAGAGCTCTCGTTGGCGGAGCTTGAATGGAGACGTCGGGACTGAGGTACGCTGACCACTGAACGCAGGCGACCACGCCGGTGTGTTTGGCTGCATTCTGGTTGCTGCTGCGAGTCTGGTGGACCGGTGTCAAACGGATCATCGAAAGGATCGCTTCTGAATTGGTCGGGTAGATCTGCAGTACCGGATCCATGGTAGGTAACTATGACAATCTTTACGTTTTGTCTTAGTTTGAATGAAAGTTTTCTCTGTGAAGTGTTTAATAGTGATGTTATGCTCGAGCCAGTTTGCTCGACACAGTGTTGATCTTTTGAAGCGCAAGTGTTCCGAGGCA